CCCAGAAAAAAGGGATTCAACTGTTTTTGTCACTGAATGAAGATCATCAATATTGTAACAACTGTGTGTGTTATTGATGGCTGTCAGGTGTGGCTGTTGAACCAGATCCCGGGTCCCAAGGGTATTCCAGTACTGGGTAATGCTCTCTACTTCAATGTGGATGCCACAGGTAAGATACCTTCTCTCATTCATAAATACCAAAATAAATAATTAAATATGAAGCCTAAGTACTTAGTCCAGTACCACTCACATGTACAGAAACATTAATTCTTTAGAAAATTTGTTAAGAAAAGCCAGTATGTTTCACTATTTTGCATATTTTTAGTTATGCTTAATACCACGTCTTATAAAAGCAAATATATTTTTACCTTCCCAACAGAGGAATTTTTGCCGGAATCTTTGGTCTCGTGCCCATTTGTACCAAAATGAAAATCTGTCTCAGACTTACTCGGTTTAATACCATATTTGTCAGATTATTGTACTTGTCATACCTCCAAACTTACTAATATACTACACAATTTGACAGAAATGTTTCTTACCTTGGTATATCTCAGAACTCTTCCAGAGAGTCTTGAAGGTGACCGAGTGCGGTGAAGTGTCCAGGATGTGGATGGTCCATAATCCTTTCTGTTTCCTAAGCAGCGCAAAAACTGCCGAGGTAAGAAGAATAACAGAGAGAAGAAGGTAATGTTACTCTTAACCGAAGTTTGAATGTGTTTCTTTTTATGAAGAACAAATTGTTACTGAAAGAACATGTCTCTAAAAATACCCTTATATACAAATAGAGAAAAATAAGATTTGCCACAAAACTTGTTTCAGAGTTGTGAGTTAACCTACAATAAGTAGCTAAAGGAACTTAAAATAAACAAGATAATCATAGAACTTGTAGAGTTCAGAGGAAGAGACTGAAAGGCGAGGATCGGGAACACAGTGAACGTCCATATATTACAGGAACAGACGGGCCCTATAGGTTTGGGGAAATATTTCTTCAGCCTTCAGGTCATTCTGCTCATGGAGCAGAATGACCTGAATGACAAAGTAGAGTTGGCAGAGGGAGTGAACCCAGTGACGGTCAGTTACATGGCAAAGATCGACAACCGAGACATGACCAATGCAACCATGAATTAACGAAAGCATTTTGGTGAATATGATCACCTTTATAATATCTGGTAGAAAAAATAACGAGTTAAAATATTTGGAGCAAAATGGCTCCAAGAGCTATGGAAAAATACGATAAAAGGCTGAAAACACTTTGGTTATTAGAGAAAAATAGACGAGATATGACCACAAATAAGAATTTCGGTTGTTGTTTTATCCAAGAAAGGAATCTCTGTATTGCACAGTTTTTAGCTCCCTGCACGAAGGCAAGAAAAAAAAAATTTGTGCAGCATAAATTTTAAATATATTAAATATTAGCCAGAAATGAAAGGGAAACAAAGAAGCATTCACATATATCAGTGGGGACGTATCCCCGGGTTCTTCAGTAATAAATTTAAAAAAGGACATAACCATTAAAAGAGAAATTTTTAGAGCCAAGTGAAGAGTTTTTATCTTTTCTCGAGAGAAAAGTTAAAATCTTTTTATCTCAGAGGGGAAAAAAATTTTATCTTGTTTTCAGAGAGAAAGAGTTATTATTTATTCAAGGAGAAGAGTTTTATCTTGTTATCTCAGGAGCAGTTATTATCTTGTTTCTCAGGGAGAGTTTTTTCTTTTCGAGAGAAGAGTTTTTTATCTTGTTACTCAAGAGATAGTTTTTCTTTTTTATCTCAGAGAGAAGAGTTATTATCTTATTCCAGAGGGGGAAGAGTTATTATTTGTTATCTCAGAGAAATCATTTTATCTTGTTATCTCGGAGATCAGAAAGTTTCCAGGAGTCAGAACATTCAGAGGTCAGTTATTATTTTATTCAGAGAGATCAGTTATTATTTGTTTCTCAGAGAGTTTTCGTTATTAATTTTTTTATCTCGAGAGATCAGTTATTATCTTGTTTTCAAGGGGGATCGTTATTATCTTGTTATCTCGAGAGATCAGTTATTATCTTGTTATCTCAAGATCAGTTATTATCTTGTTATTCGGAGTCAGTTATTATTTGTTATCTCGAGGATCAGTTATTATCTTTTTATCTCAGAGGGTCAGTTATTATCTTGTTATCTCAGAGATCAGTTATTATCGTTATCTCAGAGAGTCGAATTTTCTTGTTATTCAGAGGATCAGTTATTATCTTGTTACTCAGAGAGATCGTTTTTATCTTGTTATTCCCGAGGATAGTTATTATCTTATCTCCAGAGAATCAGTTATTATCTTGTTATTTTTAGAGAGATCAGTTATTATTTATTCAGAGAATCGTTATTATCTTATTCCCGAGAGATCAGTTATTATCTTGTTATCTCAGAGAGATCAGTTATTATCTTGTTATCTCAGAGATCAGTTATTATCTTATCTCAGAAAGATCAGTTATTATCTTGTTATCTCAGAGAGAAGAGTTATTATCTTGTTATCTCAGAGAGATCAGTTATTATCTTGTTATCTCAGAGAGATCAGTTATCTTGTTATCTCAGAGAGAAGAGTTATTATCTTGTTATCTCAGAGAGATCAGTTATTATCTTGTTATCTCAGAGAGATCAGTTATTATCTTGTTATCTCAGAGAGATCAGTTATTATCTTGTTATCTCAGAGAGATCAGTTATTATCTTGTTATCTCAGAGAGATCAACATCTTATTTATTCTCTGAAAAATGGTCAATTGGGAAATAAAATGGCCAAAATTAATTCAAACTTCACTCTTAGTAAAACCGAATAACCTTAATAGTTAATAACCTTAATAGTAATTAAATAAGTTATTTTAAACCTTTGAGAACATAACATACAATTCTTAGGTGTCCGGAAACAGATCCCGTTTAGAAGTTACCGTTTTTTTCCCCTTTTTCTTACAATTTTTCGTTTTTAATTTGCCCATAACTTCAGAAAGCCTCATCCACTCGGCTTCAAATTTAATTGCTGGTGCCAGACACTAAGGCCAGACTCAGAACACTTGACATGTGTAGGTGACTGTGGCATGCAAAGAGTACGTAACCTTTATTCGGCGCATGTACACACCTTCATTTACAGGCTATCTCCCCCAACCAGCGAACCAGGTTGCTAAGAGTTGATGATGGGGCCCCGTCGTTCAACTAGTGACCAGGTTCTAGCCAATAAGAAGATGGTTTTGGCAATCGCAGAGGTTATGTGGGTACCGCTCTCCTGTCTGCCCTTGTCATTCCCATTCTAGAGCTGGTTGAAGCACGGTCTGCTATCTTGCGGCTTCTATTTCTGCTTTGCTTACCGTGGAGTGCACTATACTTATCACTGTACATAGTGTACATATTGCTGTTATAAATTGGTGAAGGATAATATAAGTCTAAACTTTTTCTACTGTGTTTATTTGCTCCCATTACACCCGGGGTAACAGGCCATTTGGAATCCTGGGTTGTAATAGTGACCCTTGACCAGCATCCTGGAATGGCTTGGGTGACCTCGTAACTTATTATTATTGTGGCTTAAAACATTCAATAATGTATCTCCTACTTCCACTGAGCAAACATTAATATTCACTAGTACTCACCTATTTGTGGTTGCAGGGGTCGAGTCTTAGCTCCTAGCCCCGCCTCTTCACCGGTTGCTACTGGGTCCTCTCTCTCCCCGCTCCATGAGCTTTATCAAACCTCGTCTTAAAACTGTGTATGGTTCCTGCCTCTGGTGGCCTGGTGGTTAACGCTCTCGTTTACAGGTGAGGGCCTGGGGTTTGATTCCCAGCCAGGTAGAAACTTGGGGCGTGTTTCTTTTCCATCTGTTGTTGTTCCCCACAGTAAAATGGGTACCTGGGTGTTAGTCGACTGGTGTGGGTCGCATCCTGGGACACTGACCTAAGGAGGCCCGGTCACAGACCGGGCCGCGGGGGGGTTGACCCCGGGAAACCCCTCCAGTAAATCCAGATAAACTACGTCATTTTTTAGGCCCATTCCATGCCTTACGTCTATGACTGAAGAAAAAACTTTCCCAATATCTCTCTGATATTGTGTTTCAACTTCCAATTTTGACCTCTTTTTTCTGTGTTCCCTCCCTGGAACATCCTGTCTTTGTCCACCTTATCTATTCCGTGCAGTATTTTATATGTCGTTATCATGTCTCCCCTGACCCTCCTGTCCTCCAGTGTCGTCAGGCTGATTTCCCTTAACCTTTCTGCATAGGACATTCCCCTTAGCTCTGGAACTAACCTTGTCGCAAACCTTTGCACTTTCTCTAGTTTCTTGACGTGCTTGATCAAGTGATGGTTCCAAACAGGTGCCTCATACTCCAGTATGGGCCTGACATACACGGTGTACAGTGTCTTTCTTGAACGATTCCTTACTAAGGTATCGGAACGCTGTTCTCAGGTTTGCAAGGCGCTCATATGCTGCAGCAGCTATCTGGTTGATGTGTGCTTCCGGAGACATGCTCGGTGTTATACTCACCCCAAGATCTTTCTCCTTGAGCGAGGTTTGCAGTCTTTGGCCACCTAGCCTATACTCTGTATGCGGTCTTCTGTGCCCTTTCCCTATCTTCATGACTTTGCATTTGGTGGGGTTAAATTCGAGAAGCCAGTTGCTGAACCAGGTGTCCAGTCTGTCCAGGTCTCTTTGAAGTCCTGCCCGGCCCTCATCTGATTTAATTCTCCTCATTAACTTCACATCGTCTGCGAACAGGGATACTTCTGAGTCTAACCCTTCCATCATGTCGTTCACATATACCAAAAATAACACTGGTCCTAGGACCGACCCCTGTGGGACCCCGCTCGTCACAGGTGCCCACTCTGATAAATCATTACGTACCATGACTCGTTGTTGCCTCCCTGCCAGGTATTCTCTGATCCATTTCAGTGACCTTCCTGTTATATGCGCCTGATGCTCTAGCTTCTGCACTAATTTCTTGTGAGGAACTGTGTCAAAGGCCTTCTTGCAGTCCAAGAAGATGCAATCAACCCACCCCTCTCTCTCGTGTCTTACTTCTGTTACTTTATCATAAAACAAAGAAGGTTTGTGACACATGATTTGCCTTCCATGAATCCATGCTGGTTGGCGTTTATACTCTTGTTCCGTTCCAGGTGCTCCACCACTCTCCTCCTGATAATCTTCTCCATAACTTTGCATACTATACACGTCAATGACACAGGTCTATAGTTTAGTGCCTCTTTTCTGTCTCCTTTTTTAAAAATGGGAACTACATTTGCCGTCTTCCATACCTCAGGTAGTTGCCCAGTTTCCAGGGACGTGTTGAAGATTGTGGTACGTGGCACGCACAGCATATCTGCTCCCTCTCTAAGGACCCATGGGGAGATGTCCGGTACCATTGCCTTTGAGGTATCGATGTCCCTTAGCAATGTCTTCACCTTCTCCTCATCTGTATGTATGTCGTCCAGCACTTGTTGGTATATTCCTTGCTGGTGTCCCCATCTGGTCTGTCCCCCCAGAGTGTAGGTATAACCATTCATATATTCGTATAATATTCACTAGTGTAGGTATAATCATTTTATATGTAAAACTGTGGGAAAACTTTATTCCCATTTAACAAAGTTAAACATATTTTAGTAAAAGTCTTCTAAAGTTCTTCAGTATGTAACAAGTGATGCATCTTGCGTCCAGGATAGTACCCATAAAGTTTTGTTGACGTACACACAAATTTATTAATAAATAGATAAATTACCTGTAGTGAGATTTAATTCACACCGGGAGGCTTACATTACATATTTGATGACATGTGATGGACAATGTGGATTCTCCAACAACAACTCACATTTTCATTCGTATCATCCTCATTTTGGTAGTTTCACTTTGTATTTGAACCCTTCCAGATACACATTAAATTCACTAATTATATGGGACACTATATTTGTCGATACTGTTTCTATCAGCTTAGATTAAATGAGATTAATTCTCCACAAATTCCCGGTTTGATCTGTATTACTCCGCCATTTTTATTGTTGTCCTACAGTTTTTCTACCAGTATATCTTTTCAATTAATTTAATAACACTTCCAGATGTGTACTACATTTTCATTATTGAAATATTAATTTCCGTTAAATTAAAACATTTTTGCTTTATATATTCAACTCTTTACAGAATAAAAGAAAACAATAGAGAATATTAGTTCTCGTGTCACAGACCATCTTTTAAAAGTCACTGAAGATACACACCTACACAGTTTCAGATATTATCCCCATTAATTTTTTCCACACAAGTTACAGGAAAACAATAAATAAAAAATTCTACAAGAGTGGTGGGAGGGAGAGAGTAAAGCAATGTATGCTTAAGATTATGATTTTATGCTCTCTCTGGTCCACTAACACTAGAGAAACTGTGTGTAACACTGGGGTAACTGTAGCAAAACACTCCTGAAGACTCATAAATACCGCCAGTCTCTTTCTACACACAAAAAAAAAAAAAAAAAAAAAACAGACCTCTCGGTGCTGTACAAGGCAAGACGGACATGTGATTCAACACACCTCAGGTGACTATAGGGCTTAACTTCCATGCTCCGTGAGTACCTCATTTAACACTGAATGCATTCCTTGTTTTTGGGGGCTAATAGCGTAGGGAGGTTTGAGACTTCCATCCATCAGAGATCCCTTCTGTCTCAACACACTGCCCACTGTGAGATATATAGGTATGTATATATTAAATCAGATTACTAGGGTGGGGTAGCAGGTCCTAGGCTGAATTTCATAACTGACTTCAGAAGGATCACTAACCTAATCAGTCAAGAACCCACAGACAACCTCTCTTCTACACAGTTTTGGTTCTTTGAACCAGAGTTGGTCCTTTTGTCCCAGAGAACCACTAGAGCAGGGATTCTCAACTTTTTCACCATCATTAACCCCCTCGCCATCATAAAGGGACAGGAAAACAAGAAGGTCAGAAAAAATAAATTATTCAATTATTCATTTATCAGGTACATCAAATATTTACCCCTTGCCATGTAATTGTTTACCCCCTTGGGGTAAATTTACCCCTGGTTGAGAATCACTGCACTAGAGCCTAGATTACACCAGTGATTAAGAGTAACATTGTCATTACAGGTGACTGACCCCTTGGTATTTATTATTAACCACACACAGAAATGCTGAACAGAATGCCACGACCGTTGTGTGTGATTCAATATGGCATCATTTTGAACCTTAAGTGAACAGCACCCTGTGAGAAGGTTCCATTAAACAACAGTGGCACCACCTGGCACTGCGCCCATATATTAAGCCTACATCGCCATCTTATGACATCTCAACAACGTATGTCCCCTGGGTACACACTACACACCTGTGTTTTTCGCAAATTGAACCAGAGTTTGTAGTGAAACCCGTGGGAATACACCGGGGCTGCATGTGTTATTTAGGAAACGTAGTTCCAGTTGAGTAGACAGCGCCTGTCTAGAACTGATAGTGTGGTCAAACACCTACATACTACTCACTGGTCCACATTTATTGGTGGAGTGCCATAAAGTTATCAGTCCCAGTTGTCACTACCGCGTTGACGAGTCCGTGTAAGTGAACATGACTACACTAGACAACTGAGAGCCAGTTTACCCTGGAAGCAGGCCCTCATCACGAGAGAGATTAAGGTAATCTGATCCAAGGTAATCCAGTTGATTTCCTACAGTTAGAGCCTAACTTACTGAACCGACTGAAGTTCAGCAACAGCATGGTGAAAGTGAGGAATTTGCTCATATCAACAGTAATTCCCTCATCAAGGTCATTGATATATATCATAAACAACAATGAGCCTAAAACTGATCCCTGTGGAATGCCACTTGTTAAAGATTCCCACTCAGATTTTTCCTAATTTATGCTCATGCACTACTTCCTGTGGTGAGCCATGACTCGATCCATGACAGCATTTTTCACCCAGTGCCATGAGCTGCCACTTTATCAGCCTCTTGTGCGGTACTCTATCAAAAGCCTTACTAAAATCGAAATAAACAATACTGAATTCTTCATCGTGATCAACAGCTTCTAAAGCTTTACTGAATAAAGTTAGTAAATTAGTTAGGCAAGAAGGGCCTCTCGTGAATCCATGCTGTGTATCATTAATCAAATTGTGCTTATCGAGATGATTTCATATAATATAAGCTATAATTGACTTACTGAGAGGTAATTTGACGGTAACGACTTGTCCCCTGCTTTCAAAATAGGAATTACATTAGCCATCTTCCACATATCAGACGCTACACATGTTTGAAGATATATATTAACAATATTAGTCAATGGTTCACAGAGTTCTATTTTGCACTCCTCAAGAACCCTTGAAAAAAGCTCATCAGGGCCCGGGGATTTATTTTGCTTCAGTCTGTCTATCTGTTTCATAACCATATCGCGAGTGACTGATATTACTTAATTTATCTTCTTCAGGCCCTGTATAAAAGTTAATTATTGGCATGATGTCACCATGGTTGTTCAGTATATTTATAGATAGAGTTGTAAGAGAAGTGAATGCTCGGGTGTTAGCAAGAGGTGTGGGGCTAAAAGATAAAGAATCTAACTCAAAGTGGGAGTTGTCACAGTTGCTCTTTGCTGATGACACTGTGCTTATGGGAGATTCTGAAGAGAAGTTGCAGAAGTTGGTTGATGATTTTGGTAGGGTACGTAAAAGAAGGAAATTAAAAGTGAATATATGTGTCTGAGGGCAATGTGTGGTGTGAATATAATGCAAAGCACCCATAGTTCGAACATTAGGAGGAGGTGCGGGATTACCAAAACTATTATCCAGAGGGCTGAGGGGGGGGGGTTATTGAGATGGTTTGAACATGTAGAGAGGATGGAATGAAATAGAAAGACTTCGAGAGTGCATAAATGTGTAGTGGAAGGAAGGCGGGGTAGGGGTCGGCCTAGGAAAGGTTGGAGGGAGGGGGGTAAAGGAGGTTTTGTGTGCGAGCGGCTTGGACTTCCAACAAGCGTGCATGGGCTCGTTAGATAGGAGCAAATGGAGACAAAAGGATTTTAGGATTTGACATGCTGTCAGAATGTAAGCACGGTAACATTTATGAAGGGATTCAGGGAAACCGGCAGGCCGGACTTGAGTCCTGGAGATGTGAAGTACAGTTCTGCACTCTGAGGGAGGGGTGTTAATGTTGCAGTTTTATAACTGTAGTGTAAGCGCGACTCTGGCATGACAGTGAATGATGATTGAAGTTTTTTCTTTTTCGGGCCACCCTGCCTTATGGGAAACGACCGATGTGCTAATAATAAATAAAATATGTATTGTCTTCCTGTGTGAAAAACGAGACAAAATAATGATTAAAAATCGAGTTCATTTCATTCTTCTTGTCAGTAAGATGCCCAGAGTAATTTTTAAGGGGACTTATCTCTAACTTTTGTTCCATAAATCTAGAAAAAACATTTCGGATTAGTTTTTCGAATCTCTAGCAACTTTAACTTCATAGTCCCGTTTTGATTTCTTATCCCCTTTTTAACTTCCCTCTTAATGTGAAAATAAATTACAGGTGTTATTAAGTAGCCACAAACTGCTGGACAAGGGCATGGACTACGAGTTTCTTCACCCCTGGCTGGGCTTGAATCTTCTCACTTTCCCAGGTAGGTACCACATCACTGACTCCTCTACATTATGATCATACTGTTTGATTGTAAATTTAATCAAGTCTTTGGTATTTACTTTATGAATAATTATTAAAAGCTTTAAAATTTCACTTGATTTCGGGAGAGAGAGAGAGAGAGAGAGCAACAGCAACAATACATTCTTTAAAGCACTACCTTTCCTACAAGCTCAATACCTACCACAGAGTCCACATTCCAGGCAGTCTCTGGCACACACGCAGGAAACTGGTCTCTCCGGCATTCCACTTCAAGATCTTAGAAGAGTTTGTCTCGATCTTTAACAAACAAAGCTGCAAGCTGGTCCAGAAGCTGGAGAAAAAAGCTGATGGAAATACCTTCGACATTTTTGATGATGTTACGCTCTGTGTACTGGACGCAATTTGTGGTAAGTGATAATTTTATTTTCTTAATGGACACTGTCGAGAGGAATTTAATAAAGCATTGAAACTGTGATGATGCACGCACTAATTAATTAGACAGTAATTAAGCAGACAGTATGAAAGACAACATTCGTGACAAAGTAATTTAGTGGATATAGGTGTACAGTGGACACCGGTGATTCGGAAAATACTGGACCTTTATAATACAGTAATGCACTGTACAGGGTAACCCAATATATAACAATGGTTATAAATGACCATAATTTTTAAAGGGGTGGACCGGTAAGCCAGCGGAAGGCCTCGGTCAGATGACCAAAAGCTCCAAAAGCGGGTCATCATCTGACTAAGACCCGCGTCAGGAAACATTTGTCCTGTTTCCTGACGAACCTTACCTAACCTCACTGTACAGGGTGATAATGTAGTATAGTGAACATTTTTGAAATACAGTAGAATAAAGGACATGGTAGTGTGGGAGTAGAATATTGTGAACAAAGATGATGCAGTAGAACTGAGTATGTCTTGATAAAGTACTAATGATACTTTAGTAAGGTGGACTCTGGTAAGGCAGAGCTACAGAGTACACAGGTGATGCTATGGTATAGAATAAAACGTAGTGATGTAGACTTATAGTTGGATGTACTTGTGCATCATTACAGTGTTCAATACTGGAATAAAGGTAAGTGTAGTGATTCTGAAATATAGTGAACACTGTAGTGATGCAGTAGTAGAGTGAACACTGTAGTGATGCAGTAGTAGAGTGAACACTGTAGTGATGCAGTAGTAGAGTGAACACTGTAGTGATGCAGTAGTAGAGTGAACACTGTAGTGATGCAGTAGTAGAGTGAACACTGTAGTGATGCAGTAGTACCAATCAATCAAATATATTCTCTATAACGATTACATTGCGGGGTTTGCAGATTTTAGATATCTTGTGGTTTACATGTTATAAAATACTAATTACAGAGGGGGCCACTAGGACACCTAGCACGGCTAGGCATTTCGGGCAGACTTAGATTAATTCTTAACTCTAAGAATATAATAGTTTGTGAGTTTAGCAATGTGAATGTTTTTGTTTTGGCACAATGCATAGTTTCTATATTGGAGTATCACAGGCAAACTTGTGACTAGGTAGGATTTATTATTTTAAGATTAAGATTCGTATTTCTGTGTTTATAGTCAGTGGGTGAGTGTAAGTGTGAACCACCAGGTGGTTTTCATGTAGTTAGTTGACAGGGTGTATCAGCGAGATAAGATGTTTCCTAACGGTAGTTTTGAAAGTGATGAATGTGTCTGCAGTTCTAGAGTTTTCAGATAGGGTGTTCCAGATTTTAGGTCCTTTGACATATATTGAATTTTTGTAAAGGTTTAGTCGGACACGGGGAATGTCATAGAGATGTTTGTGTCTGGTGTTATGCTTGTGGGTCCTGTCACAACTATCAAGAAAGCGTTTTAGGTCAAGGTTAATATTGGAATTTAAGGTCCTGTAGATGTAGATTACACAGTAGTAAGTGTGGATGTTCTGAACAGGGAGTAAGATTAGATCTATGAAGAGTGGGGGGGGGGGGGTTGCCAGGGATGGGATTTAGTGATTATTCTTACTGCAGTGTTTTGTTGGGTTATTATTGGCTTTAGGTGTGTTGCTGCAGTTGATCCCCAAGCACAGATAGCATAGGTAAGGTATGGATAAATGAGTGAATAGTATAATGTGAGAAGGGCAGTTTGTGGCACGTAGTATCTTATCTTGGAGAGGATCCCCACCGTTTTGGATACTTTTTTGTTGTGTGTTGGATATGGGTGCTGAAATTCAGGTTGTTGTCGAGATATAGGCCTAGGAATTTGCCCTCATTATGTCTGGCAATTAGAGTGTTGTCGATCTTAATGTTAAGTTGCGCAATACCTGCTCTACTACCAAACATAATATAGTAGGTTTTGTCAGTGTTAAGTGTAAGTTTATTGGCTGTCATCCAAGTCGATATTTTGAGCAGCTCCTCGCTAACAATGGTGTTGAGGGTGGCAAGATTAGGGTGGAAGATGACATAAGTCGTGTCGTCAGCAAAGAGAATGGGTTTCAGGTGTTGGGATATGTTTGGAAGATCATTGAAGTAAATGAGGAAGAAAAAGGGACCCAGGACACTTCCCTGCAGAACTCCAGTATCAAATGGCCGTGTTGATGAGGCTGTGTCTTTAATGGTGACATACTGATACCTATTAATAAAGTATGATTTGAAATATGCAAGCGCATGGTCTCTTATACCATAATGGTCAAGTTTGTGGAGTAGGATGCCGTGGTCTGTGTCAAAAGCTTTTCTTAGGTCAATAAAAATTCCTAGCGGATATTCCTTATTTTCCAATGCTGTGTAAAGCAGGTCTAGCATTTTTACTATTGCATCATTAGTGCTTTTATTTTTCATGAATCCAAATTGGCAGGGGTTGAGTATGTTTTGAGCCGTTATAAATGAATATAGTCTCCTGTGAACGGGGTTTCTCGAAAATTTGGATACAATGGTAATTTGATATTGGCCTATAGTTGTTTACAAGTTTATGTTTTGGGTTTGAAACCCTTGCTGTCTTGATTAGTGTCGGGAAAGTGCTAGTTTCCAGTGACTTGCTAAAAAGTAATGTAATAGCATGCGACAGGACAGGGGGCTGCTCGCTTGTCAATAATGGTGGACGTGAGACAGATTCCCTGAGTTATTTTTAAGTGACTTTATAATCGCGATGACTTCGTGGGCTCAGTTGGTACAGATAGAAGGAATCTGGGAAAATTCCCCAAATTTAGGTAGTCCCCGGTAGGGCGTTGGTACGTGGGATTTTACTGGCAAGATTAGATCCTATGGTTGAGAAGAAGTCGTTTATCGTGTTAGCTGTATCAGTGAGATGTAGTGGTGTTTCGTTAGGTTTAGTTAGGACAATGTTCTTGTTTTTTTTCAGTCTGTGGGTCCCAAGAATCTGTGAAAGTGTTTTCCAGGTCTTCTTTATATTTCCTCTTGTGTCAGTGAATCTACTGGAGTAGTACAGTTGTTTGGCTTTCTTTATTACTTTGGTGAGAACTGATGAATAGTGTTTAAGAATTTTTATTTATTATTATCACACCGGCCGATTCCCACCAAGGCAGGGTGGCCCGAAAAAGAAAAACTTTCACCATCATTCACTCCATCACTGTCTTGCCAGAAGGGTGCTTTACACTACAGTTTTTAAACTGCAACATTAACACCCCTCCTTCAGAGTGCAGGCACTGTACTTCCCATCTCCAGGACTCAAGTCCGGCCTGCCGGTTTCCCTGAATCCCTTCATAAATGTTACTTTGCTCACACTCCAACAGCATTCAAGTATTAAAAACCATTTGTCTCCATTCACTCCTATCAAACACGCTCACGCATGCCTGCTGGAAGTCCAAGCCCTCCCCACACAAAACCTCCTTTACCCCCTCCCTCCAACCCTTCCTAGGCCGACCCCTACCCCGCCTTTCCCTTCCACTACAGACTGATACATCTTGAAGTCATTCTGTTTCGCTCCATTCTCTCTACATGTCCGAACCCACCTCAACAAAACCCCTTTCCTCAGCCCCCTGGACAACAGTTTTGGTAATCCCGCACCTCCTCCTAACTTCCAAACTACGAATTCTCTGCATTATATTCACACCACACATTGCCCTCAGACATGACAAACTCCACTGCCTCCAGCCTTCTCCTCGCTGCAACATTCATCACCACGCCTTTTACACCCATATAAAAGCGTTGGTAAAACTATACTCTCATACATTCCCCCCTTTGCCTCCAAGGACAAAGTTCTTTGTCTCCACAGATCCCAAGTGCACCACTCACTCTTTTTCCCTCATCAATTCTATGATTCCCTCATCTTTCATAGACCCATCCGCTGACACGTCCATCCCAAATATCTGAATACGTTCACCTCCTCCATACTCTCTCCCTCCAATCTGATATTCAATCTTTCATCACCTAATCTTTTTGTTATCCTCTTTAAACCTTATATTTTATATATATATATATACATACATCTAGGTTTTTTCTTTTTTTTAAATAGTCTTGTTCTTTTTATTTCTTCTATTGTCCATGGGGAAGTGGAAAAGAATCTTTCCTCCGTAAGCCATGCGTGTCGTATGAGGCGACTAAAATGCCGGGAGCAATGGGCTAGTAACCCCTTCTCCTGTATACAATTACTAAAAAAGAGAAGAAGAAAAACTTTATAAAACTGTTTTAAGAATATCTTTTTGTATTAAGCCCTGTCTTTTTTGCTTTTCATATTGGTGTTCTTATCAAAGGATTTCAGAATGCTGCTGGTTAGCCATGGGGAAACCGAGCCGTTTTTTTTCGTGATGTTTTTGTTTTTAAACGACAAAGTTTGTTGTATTGGTCTAAGTAATTTGTTAAGAAAAATATCTGTCCAATCGTCAATACTATTGGCCTTGGAGATTTTGTAGGCCAGTCAACAATCTCTAGGTCTGCTGTGAAATTCCTTATTGAGGCCTTGTCATGGAGTCTAAAAGAAACTTTGATGTATTCCATTGGGGGGTTTTTCTAATGTTTGTCAGAGGAAGGTAGGGTAGTGGTCCGTAGGGGCTGTCTGTGATTTTCCCTGATTTAAGGGGGGCTAGTATTTGGTCCCTATGTGGTCTATTATGGTTGTCTTGTCTCAGTCAGCCTGGTTGATTTAGTTATTGTCGGTATGAGAAGTGTGTTGTTCATATTGTTGATGAAATCAGTCACAGGTGAGCATCTGGTAGGCCAAGGTTAATATTGAAGTCTCAGCTAAGAGAAAGTGGGCTTGTTCATTTGTCTGTTTGTTATTAGTGCCTTTAATTTCTCACTGAAATTTGGGGTGTTTGTGTGGGTATTCGGTAAATGGCACCGATTGTTATTGGCGTCTTAAGGTTTTTTACAGCAAAATTAGCAAAATGTATTCCCTATATTCATCACTAAAGCAAGTGGTGCTAATACAAGATAGTTGGTTAGAGTAATAGATTGCAGTACCACCCCCAACTTGG